AGGAGTTTTGAGCGCATGGCAGATATCACGTATCTCTGGTGCAGTATAGGTCTTCTGAGACTTCAGTGCCGGAGACCGGGTGGGCGACGTATTGGGAGCAGACGAGGCCGAGGTTGCAAAGCGTACCGATGGCGTGCCCAATCTTACGAACTGTCCTTGTAATCTGGCCTATGCATGAGCTTTATCTCATACCAACGACATCGGCTCGCTTGTGTACTTACGAATCGACACGCTCGGGTTCTATGTCAATGTCACGCCACTTCCAAGGAGGCAAAGGATTTCGTCCTGGTTTCTTCTCAAGGGAAAGAATGCATTTTACTCGAAAGCCGCTTTGAGTCGTGTCATTCTTGATGCGTAGCTGCAGACTGGCTTGGTGAAAGTGTTCACAAGAGCAAGAACACGATAACCGGGATTCGAGACTTTTGAATACACGCTTCGCGTGGTCACGAACAACCAACCAGTGCGTGGAGTCGATCTGAGCCTGCTGCTCTCTTCGTGGAGTCTCCAGCTTGACTGCGTTGTCGACAAAGCTACCAATACTTTCAATCTCTTTGCTGATGTCTTCGATGATGGCTTGGCAGCGCCTGAGTTGGTATATCTCCGATAACCCTTTTCGAATGAAGAAATTCGTCCGTTTTGTCTCATCTTCAATGAGCTGGTTTCCTGATTTTGTGATCCAAGATGGCTAATTCTTAGCAACGAGACAAACAATCATGGAACAACTTACCAGATAATCGTCACTCAACTGCAGTCTCCTCTTCAATTTATTCACCTTTGTCTAAGGTCAGTTCTGGTAACATTGGACGCAGCAGGAGTAGTTACCTTTGTCTGCAGTATCTGCGTCGCCGCCAAATACTTGTTATACCGCAGTCCCAACCTTCTCTTCAGTTCTTCATGTAGATGCGGATCCTTCCACCTCTCCGAGTCCGGATGTTCGATCAGCTCCTCCTTTTCCTGAGGTGAGATCGTAAGTGGAGAAATCAGCTGCTCGCAAGACGCACGATACATCGTGTATGCAAATTCGAACTTGATGCTCAGCTCATCATACTGCAACTTGTAGTTCGTCACAGCTTTGATGATTGAGTACTAGAATGTTGTTGTCAGCGAATGCCTCCTGTAAGTTGGTCTAGTCTTCTTACACCCGCGGAGTAACTTTCCAGAGCTTTACAGACGAGCGGAAGCACTGCGAGTACGACGCCAGCTACCTCGAATCCGGACATCGCACAGGCTGCAGTGTGATAAGCGTGAGGGTATTGACATCAGATCGTGTTCGCGGGGTAATCAGTCAGGCTGGGTGGCGGCTTCTGGAGTTGGACGACAGGCGGCCAATCTAGCCCATTCTCAGCCACCTGCAGCCTCACGTTCATGATTCGTCACCACCACGAACATCACAGATATCCAAACATCAAAATTTATCATGATCATTAAGAACTACCCGCTCAAACCCCAACACCAAATCAATTCCCAAACAAAAGAAAAGGCGTCAAAGCCAACGATCCATGCTCCCGAATGGGGGATACTTCAACCCAGCCGGTTTCCTCCTTCTCATCCACCTCCCACCCCCACTCGCACTACTCCCCACAGTACTACTAACGCAATCCCAATCCCACGGCATGCTCTTGCTCAAGGCTTCGTAGCCGGCTACTCTGCGTAAAGTACCTCGGGTTCGCTCTTGCTGGACATTGCGGAGGGCTGTGCGGGTGCCTTCCCGGACTGTTGTTGATGATACCCTAGGCTCGACGATTTGGGTGTGGTAGGTAGGTTCACGGGGGCGGGACGGTGGTGGACAACGTGATGGTTCGCGGGTTGGTGGTGGAGGGCAAGGGGATGAGATTGTGCGTTTTCTGCCAGAGCCGCGGAGGTGGCCTTCTTTAATGTCGACTATGCCGAGTCCGTGATGGTGGTGGTCGTGACCATGAATCGGATGCATGAGTAGGGGATGTAGATGCGGATGCCTGTGGTGATGATTCAGGTGCGCGTCGAAGTGCACGTGATCATGGCCACCTCCTTCCTCCACCTCGAGGCTCATACTCGGTACTCTGACACGCACGTCGCTAAAACGAGGTGATGCTGGACTACGACGAACGCGAACGAGGTCCTCCGCACATGAAGAGTCGGTAGAAGGGCGCTGTTGCTTTTTGCCTTTGGCTGGTGTGAGGGTGAACCAGCACATTTCTGGGGCGCGGCGAGGAGAGATCAACGCCGGAGTCGATGCGCGCGGGCAAGGGGTGGAGTCGTGTAGGCGGGGCAATACGATGGTAAGCAGTGTGTGAGAAAGATGGGTTGTAAGTTGAGGGTGGTCGCGAAGGTTGATAGTACGAATAAGGTGTAGTGTCGTAACGGGGCATTCAGAAGACTTGAAAGAAGAGCAGACAATGGGGTGAAGGCGGTACTTTATCCTACGGCTGACACACAATGTACATATGATCAGATCCTTTCGCACTCCTTCTCTTGATGGCGTCCACCTATGTATATACTGCTGCCCTCGACGATCATTTGCTACCATCACGCACGCTGCGCCGGACCTGCACGCGGGCCGCACGTATGCTTATACGTGAGAGGACAAATGAGACAGAGCGAGTGAAGACGGTGCCTGCATGATTGTTGCTGGTGCCTGCATATAGGAAATGCAAACATGTGTTCAAGTCCGCTGGGCGAGTGACTGAGGCTGACATGGGTGCGAGATGCGCGCGTGGGTCGGCGCGATGTCTTGCCTGACCTCAAGTCTCAACGAGCGGCATGTGACGCTTGAGCCCCAACGCCCGTTCCTGACTTGCGCGATGCGGGAACTTGTAGTACCTGATGACGTACGTAGATATGTATCAAGGTCGTGCAATAGTCCTTCGGATGGCATTTCCCTCTTTTGCGATGCGTCTGCGCCACGCTGGTCCGTCGCTGTGTGTGACGGGATGACTGCGGCTATCTCTACACTCTTTGCGCGTGTACATGTCTGTAAGCATCATTGCATCCCTTCTCTTAGTTAAATGGAGTAGATGCTGTTGCGATAAATGGCGACGACGTACGCCAGGCGCGCAGTACTGAGCATCGCTGTTCGTGTGGGTGGCGATCACTGCGAGGTTAGTACTAGAGAGGAAGACGTGAGCGTAGCAAAGAACAAAGCAAGCGATAGGGCTCATCATCCATAGCAGAGTCTACGCGCAAAGACAGCTCGAAAGTGCGCAGGTTGTAGTGTAGGTCATCGGCGCTGATCCGCCGGACTGGTGAAGGCAACAGCTAGACGCGGCTATGTCTTGGCATTACCGACAACGCCGGAGCTTCGAGCTCACATCACCACGTCAAACAATCAAACAACCCCACCCCAACCACTCGATCACGTCTCTGATACCCTCTGAATCCCGCCAATACACACTGTCGCAACCATGGATTCATTAGTATCGCAGTACAGCCGACCGGCGTATACAGAGGAAGGCCCGTCCGAGGAGGAGCAGTTGCAGCTCTACAGCGGCACCCCAGAGCTATCTCTCAAGTTTGCCCTACCACCAGTAGCTCAGGTGCGCTCACCCTCTATCATGACTTATGAAGGGCGGAATATACTAATACCGTCATAGTCAGCATCATGGCTCCGCGCAATGACGGACGACTACTCCAACCCGAACTGCCCCATCAAGATCGCCCACGGAACCACAACCCTCGCCTTCCGCTTCAAGGGCGGCATCATCGTAGCCACCGATTCGCGTGCGACGGCTGGAAACTGGATAGCCAGTCAGACGGTCAAGAAGGTCATTGAGATCAACAACTGCTTGTTGGGAACCATGGCTGGTGGCGCTGCTGTACGTACAGGACAACCACACGATGGAGTTTGAAGGCAAGTGGAGTATTGACATGCAATAGGACTGCCAATACTGGCTCGCATACCTCGGAATGCAATGTCGCCTCCACGAGCTCCGCCACAAGCGCCGTATTTCCGTCGCCGCAGCCTCCAAGATCCTCGCCAATCTCGTCTACTCATACAAGGGCATGGGTCTGAGTATGGTACGTCTTCCCCCCTCACCGCTACCCTCCCTCCCACCCCTATCTAACACATCCCCAGGGAACAATGTGCGCAGGCGTAACCCCGCAAGAAGGCCCCGCCCTCTACTACATCGACAGCGACGGCACGCGTCTCGCCGGCAACCTCTTCTGTGTCGGCTCCGGTCAGACCTTCGCCTACGGTGTGCTCGACGCACAGTACAAGTACGAGCTGGAAGACGACGAGGCGCTCGAGCTGGGCAGGAGGAGTATCCTCGCTGCTACTCACCGCGACGCATACTCTGGTGGTTTCATCAACTTGTACCATGTCAAGGAGGACGGCTGGGTCAAGCACGGCTTCAACGATACGAATCCGATTTTCTGGGAGACGAAGCTGAAGAAGGGCGAGTTCTCGAACGTTACTAGTGCGTTGGAGTAGTGTGGTGGCTATAGGTTAGGGGAAGAAGCCCAAGGCCCGCTGAGGGGATGAGAGATAGACGGCAGACCACGATAGCTGCAATGTGGCAGTCTCACTCGAATCACGACTTAGACATGTCCAATGAAATAACGGCACATCACAATATTTCCCTCCTGAAGCGAATTACGCATTGTGATGTTTGCATTTGCATTACCAAATCATACGCGACTAGTCACCATTATCTATGATACTATGCATGCGACCCCCAAGAGCGAACAACCGAACAAGGAAAGAGCCGCAGTCCATGCAGGCTAACGAACGCCTACTATCCCCTCCACCACATGAGTATGAAAGAGAAAAGAAAAAGTGCAATGTACACTATCCCAGTGCCGAATAGTTGGGTATAAGCAAAAGCCTCCTAACAAGGAAGCAGTAAACGCCGCGCAAGTCCCGTTGTCCCCATACTTTGGACATGTTCGAACGCCGTTGACCGAATTGATGCAAGACAAGACAAAACAGAAAATGATGTGGAAAAATCAAAGAAAAGGGAGGAGAACATCTCCAAATGATAGTGAAGTAGAGCCAAGTAAGGGTGTGGTGTGGTGTAGTTTGCTCAACGACTCCGCCTTCGTAATCCCAAATCCTCCTGTTGTAGCTGCTTGATCAGATCGAAACTTGCTTGGTCGAGGTTGGGATCGATCATGTTGATCATGCTGCCCATGGGGACGTTCATGCCGCCGTTCATGCCCACGGCCATGCCCATACCGGTTCCCATACTCATGCCGTGCTCCAATTTGATGCCGTTGCCATTGCCGTTTTCTTGCCGTTTGCTGGGTGTGGATTTGGGTGTTTTGCTATTGCGGCCAGCGCGAGAGGGCGTTTGACTGGCTTTGTGGCCAGAGGAGTTCTGCGTACGAGCTTTGTATGTGTTGTTGAGTGTAGGCGTGACAGGTGGGGGAGGGAAGTCGGAGTTTGTGGTGAAGTTGTTGTAGTTGTTTGTGGCCGGGGAGGTGATGTATGGGTTGTAAGTGTGGTTGTTGGTGGTTGCCGTGGGTGAAGCAGCGGAGACATGTCTGGGCGAAACAGGTGATGATGGATTACGGACAGCGTGGTGTTCTGATCCGGGCTTTGATGTGAAGCCTTTCGTGTGCGTTTGCGCAGTATCGTTGTGTGGTGGCGGACCAGGCGTGAGCGGCTCTATGCTAGGACCATGGACTTCGCCGTTGCGTCCAGTGGGTTCCATTCCGTCCATGAGCATCGGATCGGTCGGTTGATACTCGACAGACGACATGACCGTATCACCGTTTGCGTGGTACGAGTTCGCCACGTCGTGATTGTAGTCGCCGTTCGTATATGCTTGAAGGGCAGGATCAACTGGCACTAGATCGTCATTCTCAGGACTTTGATCTAGCGCTTGCTGGGCGGAATAGGCCATCTCTTGGAGGAAAGACGAACCACCACTGAACTGGTTCGGAAGAGAATGTCGCGCATGCATGTCTCCATGCAAATATTCGTCGTCATATGAAGATTCATGTCTCATCCGCTTCGCTGTTGATCCCGAGTCCTCATCGCTGACTCTCCGTTTCTTAGACGCTGAACCCCGCGGAATGGGGATCTCGTTGGCCTTGACAGGATCAACATTGCCATACTCGTCGTGTATGCATCGCCGCTTGCTCTTCCTGCAGTCGGCACAAGCCTTGACTCTGCCAGACTTGAGTGCATAAGGGTCGCCGTTCACATCAGCCATGATTGGGCCGCCATTCACTGGCCCATTGGCGGCGTTCGACAAGCTATCTGCAACGGAGTGATCGCTCAGCCGGCGTTTGACAGATATGCCGTATGAGCCAGAGAGATCGATGGTGTGCATACCCGGCTTTGATGTATCAATAAGCTCGTCTTTGTGTTTGCATCGGATACGGCGCTTCCTACATGCATCGCATGCAACACGTTTGGGTCCGAGCTGAGATGTTTTGGGTGTGGTGATGTGCGGGTTGTTTGCCGACGGTCGTAGGAAACCAGTTAATGGTCCGGACGTTACAGGCACCATTTCATAGTTGTAATTCTCCACTTCGATAGGCGGCGAAGGCTCGGGAACCACATCAGAAGCTTTGATGCGGGCTGAAGATCTCTCTGCCGTTGCTCGTAAGGCTTCATGGAGCGTCTCACGCTCCAGTCTCTTAACCTGAGCAGCACTGAGCTTCTTCTCTGTGGTCTCCATCACTTCGGGAAGAACAGCATCAGAGAAGGCCCAAGATGGTATGGTCTCATTCCCGCGTTTCCATGCGATCCACATTGCAAAGCGTCGGGCTAGCACAAGCGGCTCGCCATGGCCCTTAGGGATCGACTTGTTGACAGCGCTTCTGGTCTTTTGAGGCACATCGATTTTTCCTTCGGTAATCAAGACAGTTCTCCAAATGTAGTTCAGAAGATCGCTCAGCCCTTCGAGTTCGTGCTTGGAGTAGTACCGTTTGTTGTAGTTCTGTGCGCCGAGGTGCGAGTTGTGACCGAACCTATCTGGCTCGCAGTAGATGGGTGTGTCTCGTGTGAACTGCTCGCCGCTTTGCAGAAGCTCTTGAACTGGACCAGGAATTGGATCTTCTTCCAGATATTTGATGGCTGTTAACCACATGATCTTTTGGAAGAACGGATACCGAAATTGCAAGGCCACCTTGGTGTTCTTCTCGATCTCCAGAATCTTAATCTGCATGCCGTAATGGATGCGAGTGAGGAAGTTACCGCCGATGACGAGGCTGTCCTCGGGAGTCCAGACTGCGTGGATCCAGCCAGAAGGAATCAACATGGTATCTCCAGGGTATAGATCTACTCGGTAACACTCCTTGACCTGTTTGCCAAGCCAGTCGTGTCCTTGATTCGGAGAAAGACACCAGTCTTCGTATTTCTTGAGGTTTTGCTTTGTTGGTGGGATAAAGAAGAAGACCTTCTTTCCCTTGACGATGTGATAGTAGACGGATGAACCGCCAAAGTCGATGTGGAAGTCGGTGAAGCAGTCTGCGACAGACATAAGGCAGTAGAACTGCACTGGGGGCGGCGCAGACTTGTCATCCTCCCGCCACACGGAATCTTGGAGGTCCATGTCTCGAACAGCCTTGGGCCGCCGTATGAGCTTCCCAAGCCTGCTTCGAGATACCTCCAGACTGATGACATTCCGTACTGGCTTTTCTCCTTGTTGCTCGTAGTAGTCGGCCCACTTCCCCATGGTCCACTTCTTGCCTTCGCCTTCTTGTGCTTTGACGTCGATGACGGGTACGGGTTCGTTTGGGCCGTAGAGTTCCGCTACGCGGCGAACCGTCAGGCCCTTGGGTATGACCATATCCAAACTGTCTTGACCGTCATCGACGACTGTATCGTACCCAGCGTGTGATCCTGACCCGTCTCCTTGCCCCTCAGTGTTTCCCATGACGATGTCTTCCTCCGTTGACACCGCCGAAGGGTTCATGTCGCCAGGGATCACGATCGGCTCCTTGAACCCGTTCATCTTCTCGAGGAAGTCGCCGGTGATGAGTTGAGCCGGGACACGCGCAAAGGTCTCGGGGGTGAATTCGATATCGCCATTCTTGAAAGCTGATATATAGTGGTGCTCCGGGTTGTCGTCTGAGGTCTTGAGAACACCCTCGTTTAGACCAGCGTAGTCAACAGTTGTGTGGGCTCTGACGGATTTACGAACCTCTGGACCATGTTAGAACTATAAGCCCAATGTGCGTCGGTAGACCTACTCGTTGTTTCACCAAACTTGGGTCTACACGGTTCGCAGTAGAATTTGTTTACCTCCCGTACCTCCCGTTCGCTGTTGAAACCAGCGCAAGGGTAGTGATACCACTCTTTGCAGCCATCGCAGCCGATCCATTGTTCGCCGTCGCCGATTTTGGTAAGTGATTCGGACGATTTGCAATGGGCGCAGATAAGTTCTGGTTCGGCTAGAGCGGGCGCAGGCTGCGCGACAGGAGCAGCAGGAGCAGGGGCGACTGCTTGGTTTCCAAGAGGTAGTGATTTGGCTCGTGAGTACGTCGAGAGCGGCTGGTCGTCTGGTATTGGTGGAGCGGATATTGAGAAGGAATGACGACGTGCTTGCGAGGGCGAGATTTGGGCTGGTCCAGCTAGCGGTACCGTGGGAATGGAGCTGTCCGTTGGGACCGCAGCAGACTGGTCGGCGGGCAGACTCAGCGGCGACTGAAGCTGGTCCGGGGCTCCAGAAGTACTTGTGGATGGCGCACTTTTGGGCTTGGGAGTTGACTTCTTCCGTTTGCTGCTGGCCGAAGGGGTGCTACGAGATGCGCGCGCCTTCCCTTTTGGCAAGCCCTGTCCTTTTTTCGCCTTTGGCTCTTCTGACGGAACGGCATCTTGCATCTCAGGCTGTGTAACGATAGTAGGAGCTTCTTCAGGCGGTGTATGTGTTTGTGCAGCCGAGGCGGTCGGGGCTATGTCTGAGGGTGCGTCTAAAGGGTGTTTCAGGTCGACGGGTGCCTGCGTAGGTTGGCTGTAGTGATCGGATGACGGTGGTGGCGGCGGAGGCGCTAGAAAAGGATTTTCGGGCGCTTGCTTGTGTTGTATTTGTTGTACTGGTTGCGAATGTTGTAGAAGTTGCGAAGGCTGCTCGGCCGGCGCTGACTGTGAAAAGACCAACCGCTTTGCTGTCGAGGGCGGAGATTGCGCAAGCTGCGTTGTAGCTGCCGTGAAGAAATCGAGCAGCAGCTCAGCTTCAGCACGTCGGTCATCAGGCACGGCGCTGATCTGATGCATGCCATTGCCGCCGTTGGCCGTGTGCTCGACGCTATAGGACCAGCCCGGGATGTGGCTCGTAGCCGGTCTCGACTGAGACTGCCCATACTGCGGAGAGCCGTACACCTCGGAGCGCGCTCTCTTCGCGGGTCTCTCATCGTAGGGATATATGGGCTCCCTAGGGGAGGCGTGTACGGGGGCGCGCTCGCCGATCGGGTAAGGGAGGGTCGCGGGCGACGTCGCTGGGTGTGAAGCATGGCGCGAAAAGTCAGCGTAGGGCAGGTTTGTGTGCTGCCTGGTGACAGCGACATCTGCGAGGGCCTCAATGGGCGATGCCTGCGCCAGAGAATACTGCGGCGGCGGAGGTGCGGAGCGCGACGAGTGCCCGTACGTCACCGCCGGCGACGACTGCTCCGCGGACGCGCGCGCGCCCTCTCTGAGAGTGAAAGCATTGTGCGGAGCATCATTGATGTGCCTTGTGCCTGATAGCGACGCGGTTGGGATATTCGCATTGCCGGCGGGGTGCGCCGTCGAGGGCTCCGTGGGCAGCAGGATGGGCGACAGTGGCTCGTAGGCGGGCGGCGGAGGTGTAGGGGCGCGCGCCGAAGCTCGCCTGTACTGCTCCTTGAAGGACGAGAGGCGCCTCATGGTGGCCGTGGGTGCGGAGGTGGATGGACTGGGGCTTCGGAGGTGCGAGGTACTCGCCGGTCTGGCGTCTCAGACAGATGCGCGGCTATGGAGCAGCGGCACTATCAGCGGAGAGACGGGCGGAGTAGGAGCCGGGCATGGGCATGTCCTGCGGCGAGGCGAGGCGACGGTGGGCGCGGTCGCGGATGAACGAGCGTAGGGGGAGGTTTGGGAGCAGAATGATGGTGGTGGAGAAGTCGGCGGGGATTGTATTGGGAATGTTGCGACCACGACCAGCACAATCCAACCACGACTCGGCCACGCCAGCGCCGACGACACTCTCAGGACGCGATAGGTAGGCGAGGATGCGGCGGCTTCACAGAGAGCTCGAAGCGCATGTGTCTGTGGTATGCAGATGGTTGGCCGTTGCAGGAGCTCTGGGGAGGAGACAAGCCGCTTCATTCGCTGCAAGTCCGCGTCTCCGATTCGAGCGCTCGATTCTACGGCAAGGAGTGCACCCATCACCATATCACCTTCAGGTGAGACATCTATATTCCAGTGCATGTCCATAATCACTAGACGCTAAATTTCCCATTTCACAGCCTCTCGTTTGCGGCGCATGTGCATCGTCATCTCGGTGCTGCATGAGTCGCTGTTCTTGGTCTGCGTCCGCCACGTGATGCAGCTCGGCGCTCGGACGTGCACGCCATCCACGATTGATCCCGCATGTTCACCAACTTCACTTCTCACTACAACCTCCCCACCGCCCGTCGCCCATTACAAACCTCGCAGCCCGTCCTTTACCGTTCATCACAGTCGCCAAAGTATGAGTCGAGGAGGAAAATTGGCCCCGGAAGTCAACCGGTACGTCCGCCATGCCGCATCGCGTGCCAGTCGCAAGGCCGATGCGACCAACTCACACGACATCTGCGCTAACATGTTATGTCTACAGAGCTCTCTTCGTAAAGAACCTGAGGTTAGTAGATGCCCGAGGTGTCTAATCTGCCACGCGCTAATTCTCTGCCAGCTTCAACGTCACCCCAGAGGAACTCTTCGACCTCTTTGGCAAGTTCGGCCCAGTGCGGTACGTCGTCTCCCTCATGCGCTGGCGCATCTTGGCCTTCACCGTCACTCCAGGTTACTGACGTTAGCACAGCCAAATTCGCCAGGGCATCGCCAACAACACCAAGGGCACTGCCTTCGTCGTCTATGAAGACGTAATGGACGCAAAGTCGGCCTGCGACAAGCTCAACGGCTTCAACTTCCAGAACCGGTATCTCGTTGGTACGTGGCAGGCGCTTCTCCGACACAGCAACCACTAACAGCAGCAGTATTATATCACCAGCCAGATAAGATGCTCAAGGCCGCGAATGATCTCGCCGAGCGCCAAGAGAACTTAGAAAAGCTCAAAAAACAACACGGTATTGATTAGGGGTGCGCGAGGACTCAGGAACAGGTGACATCGCGCGAGCGAAGTAAAGACAAAACTCCTGAGGGCCTCAAGACCGATAGCGTAATCTCTAGAAGCTCTTCGAGCCGCGGCGGCGACACGCGTACCTCGACGACCGATTCGATTTCAGCGGAAAAGACCGGCGCTCCTTCCCCGACGACTACACCTGCCTGCCGTAGCTGCGACTGGCGTACTGTAAAACGATCGTTGAAGGGTATATTCAAGTCGGCACACGGCGTTAAGAGGTCATGAAACGTTCACGAACCATGACAGATTGCTGCATTTTCTTGGAGTGGGACTTTACTTAGGATAGCTGGTGATGCATAGGGCTATAACAGACTGCAACAGGCCCCGGCTTCCTCTACAGCGGGCAGTCGGTACTCATCCGACTAGGAATCAAGGACTTCTGGTTCCAGCAATTGCATATGACGCAGTGACATGCTAACAATGATTTCTGAAGGTAACTTCCTCAAGGTCCTTCGCACCTTCCACTTTCGGCTGCATCACGGGACTAGAACCGCCATCTGGCCGAGCTCGTGGTTTTCGCCAACCCAGTCGAAGCCTCTCTCAAAGTCGTCCATCTTGAACTCCGTCACCGAATCAAAACCTCTCTCTTTTCCAAGTCTCAACACTCCCGCTTCGGCCATCTTGATCATTTCCTTCACATCTTGACCCCGGTACATGGCATGACCATGAACCGTGATACTCTTAAACACGATATCCATCATCGGAATCTCCACATCCTTCATCGCGCCGCCACCAAAGCCCATGATACACGCTCGTCCGTGCTGCTTGAGCGCGCCAAAAGCAGCACGAACATGTGTACTCCCCTCCGCTCCCATGGGCGTGAACTCGAGAAACGCATCCACGGTGCCATGCTTCTGCAGATTCTTAACATCGACCTCGATGTCGTTCGTTCTCAGGACACTTGAAACAAGCTTCGGATGCGCATCCACCAGCCGCTGAAGCGCGCGCTCATTCCTTCCCGTCACCAAAACAGACGCTCCCATCGCAACCGCCACGCCCACGGCAGCACCTGAAAAAAGCCCCGTAGCAGGCGTAACAATCAGTCTCTCCCCGGGCCTCAGCCCAATCCCCTTCAGGCCACTATACGCCACAACATCAACACTGAGCTGCACCAACTCCGGTATCGTATACCCCAATTCCCCACAAAGCCTCTTTTCATCCAGCGCCCAGGTGTTCTCCAAGGGCGCCTTAACATACTCCGCAAACGTAGCATACCGCCAGTTATCCGCAAAGAGCTTCTTACTCCCCTCACTCGTACCTTCCATTGCGCCCCAGAAAATCCACGTATCAGCGTCGTCGCGGGCGCGGATGAAGGGCTCGAGGAGTACGAGTTGGCCTTCTGATAGACATGTGGTGTCGGGACCTGTAGCTGCGATGCGGCCTACGGCTCGTCCGCCGGGGATCATGGGGGTGGGGTAGGTGAAGCCCGCTTTGCCAGAGAGGATGCCCGGAGTTTGGTGTTGGAGGAGGTTTGCGAGGACTTTTACTACGACAGAGCCTGGGCCCGGGTTGGGTGTTGGGATAGACTTTGGGACGAGGGGCCCGTTTTTTGTTTCTTGGAGGAGGGCTTTCATTGTTGGGGGCAGGGTGGTGGTGGACATATTTGGATATGAAGGTTTGTTCCTTTCTTGATAGTTGAGAACGTGTTATAAGATACGGTTTGGGATCGGGTTTCTGTACCTCTTCCCTTATCCTACCTGCCAGGTTTTCCGTACTTATACCTGTCCATGACCACATTGGTGTGCACCCTCCATGCCATGTCATCCATCTCGTTCTACTCACCTATCTCCTTCTCGCGCAAAGGCCGTCGACCTTCTCTCGGAGTTTACGCATATGACGCGCTTCATACCTCAATACATTTGCCCCATCCTAGCGATTGAATCATGCTAGCACCACACCTCCGTCGTTGCTACCCAATCAACCAATCAGACCGCCTCGCGACTGCTGTATACGAACGCGGGTTAGACCCGCCCCTTAGCGCGGGTTCCTGTGGACCCTTTCCGCCGTCGCAGTATGCAGCACGACCTCATCGCTTACGCCCTGCTGCCACCGGCGATGAAGTAGCTAAACTCCGCGTTTCTTCCGTCTCGTACAGTCTTACACGCATATCTAGGTATATAACGGCGGCATGGACTCTTTATACGAGCACGGGTTAGACTGCATCTACCCACCTCCAATGCCCTCACTGTTTGCAGGCTTGCCGCACACCTCATAGGCACTCCAACAAGAACGGAACTCAAATTGAATCGACGCTATGCCTGCTCTCGTACCCAAACGCAGCGGTTTGTCAGCGGAAAAGGGTGTAAGGAAACGCCGCTGGAATGCGAAATCGAGGAACGGGTGTCAGAATTGCAAGTTGAGACGGGTTAAGGTTAGTTGTGATGACTGTATCTAGGATTTAGGCTGGTTGGGCTGATGGTTCTTGGGTAGTGCGATGAGACGAGGCCGCGGTGCGCGAAATGCGTGACCTATGGCGTGGCGTGCGACTTTGAGGGTCAGGAGGGAGAGTTGGACGTGCACGTGGAGGGCGTGGGGACAGTTGATTTTAGGGAGCTATCCACGATTACGCCGCACCATGAGAATAGCGGAGCGACTCGCACGCCGTGGAGCCCGATATCGTTCAACGGCGTTGTGACTTCTATGATTGGAGACTCTCTTCGATCTGGGGCGTCGGCGCTGGATCCAAACATGGGTACTGGACAGTCATCTTGGGAATTTTCGGAAAGTCATCTTGAGATCCTTGCGAGATTTCAGAGTAGGACGTCTCTGACTGTCGGAGGTATGGTATAACATTGAATCGTTTTGAGTATGCGGGCTGACTGACGGAATTCGTGTAGGCGAGAGAATGGCCCCAGCATGCAGAGACATAGTATGCCGCCTCACATTCAACGTAACGTCTAACCCATTCTTCCTTTAGCTGTCCAGAACTGACTTGTAGTGTAGCACCCCTTCCTAATGCACATGATCCTCGGCCTAACCCTGATGCACGACTCTGCTCTTGCCCACACTTCCACCCGATCTCTCTCTCTCCAAAACGCATCGCTGCGCCACTGGTCCCACGCCACAACGCAGTACCAGCGTCTCCTCTCCGGTCCCATACCTCCATCCCAACGCGACGCCATTTGGGCCACGGGCGTCCACCTCGGCGCTGCTTCCTTCTGGTACCTTGAGTCAGACGACCCCCACGCAGTCTGGCCGCTGAAGCCTTCCGAGCCGGGTGACCTCGCTTGGATGAAGATAGGAGAAGGCAAACGACATCTCTGGCGTATAGCAGATCCTACGAGGGAGGACAGTGTATTCAACCGTATTCTAAAGAAGAAGACAGGCCCATGCCCTACGCCACCCGAATGGATGGTGAGTAACGACACCAGTCTCGTGCCTGAGAAAGTCAGACTGGTCTTTGGTGTCACGGAAGAGTCTAATAGGGATAACAACGTCTACCATTTCCCTGTCCTCATCCTTTCGCGGATCCAGCATCTACGCTTGTCGCATGGCAATGTATTGGATTTCCTATACTTCACCGCGTTTCTCACGCCCGAATTCTTGGCCTTGCTAGAACAAAAAGACCCTAAGGCTGTGTTTCTTTTGGGTTGGTGGTTTAGCATGTGTCGCGATGGCACGCTTTGGTGGGTGACGAGACGAGCGAGGGTCGAAGGAGAGGCTGTGCGGATTTGGTTGGGCAGAACGGATAAGCGTCTTCTCGACTTGTTGGAGGAGCTGAGTAAGAGGAGGGTAAATGTTTTGGAAGAGAGGTTCTGGGTAATGGAACGGGTTGTGGATGAGGATGGCTTCGAGACTAATTGGGCGTTGGATTCTAGAGGTAGGATATTGACGGTGGCTAATTGAGGTGGAATGTTACTCTTTTTTCATACCCTCTTCTCGACGTATACGGGCCATGAATGCGGAACAACCGTGAAGTAGGCCTTCCACTGCCAGTCTTGCGCGGAGTCCACCTGCTTGATCTTGTAGTCCCTGACTAACGTCGCTGCGATCTTCGCGAGTTCAATCTTAGCGATGTTTTGACCTGGGCAGCCTCCATAACCTGCACCAAACTGCGGTGATCAGTCAGCATATACGCGAAGCCGCCGGTGTACACTCAGTATAAGTGCAAGTGTCACTCACAGGTATCCAATGCTTCTCCATGGCAGCACTGTCTGCTTTCAACCATCGATCTGGATTGAAGACGTGCGCATCCGCACCCCAAATCTCCTTTGAGTAGTGCATCACCCATGCTTCAGTTTAAGGTCAGCCTGGTCGATAAGGAAAACATCGAAATGGATTCACTCACGGTTGATCGAAACAATAGTACCCTCAGGTATAATGCGATCTCCAATGACCAATCCTCCTTTGGGCGCTATGCGGGGAAGGCCCATGGGCACAGGACCGAAGATGCGAAGAGCCTCCTTCACGCAGGCTTGCACGAAACTACTCAACGTCAGTCTCGCACAGTCTTCCATGGCGATCAGACTGAAATGCTTCCTCACCTAAGCTGCTGTGCATCAGCATAAGACACCACCCGATCCCCACACAGCCCGTCCCTTACCGCCTTCGCCACTTCCTTATGCGCGCGCTCCCACGCATTTTCATGCCGAATCATATGATAAACAAAAGACTGTATCCCCGCCGCAACAGTATCCGACCCCGCCCCCACAGCCGCAAGCGCCTGCGTACCAATCTCGCGTATAGTAAACTTATCCGGATGCTTCTCGTGCTGCTTGAACCAGTAATGAACAGCATCATACCTCACATTCTCATTTTTCTCTCGATCCGCCAACACAGACGTGACAGTGTCGAAGAGATGGCCCATTGGTAAGATAGACAGCCATGTCATAATGGGGTTGGCTAGCAGGGCGATGTTGATCCAGCGGAAGTAACCTGCTACAGCGATATATGCGTTCAGAGCGAGGGAGTTTGAGATGGAGTTCCCGATGTCTTTGCCTTGCGCGAGGAAGCCGAAGGGTTTAGAGAAGACGATTTCGCCGATTACGTCGAAGGTTAGGTAGGAGATGTAGGTGTTGAGATGCATTGGTTTCTCCGCGGCTGCGTATTCGTTCATCCAGTCGAGGAAGGATTCGAAAGTACGGTCGATGTGCTCTTCGGAGCGGAGCAGGTTGGAGACGGTATATGCCGCGGCTATGTATTTTGACTTTTCGATCTTTTTCTTGGGGTCGGTAGTGCTCATGGGTGACTGGAAGCGATAGTCTGGTAGGGCATGGATCTTGTACCAGTTTGCCTTGTACTCATGTCAGTCGTCTCGTAGATCGATGTGCTTTTCGAAGTAGTACCTTGTGTAGAGGAGCTACGAGGATCTTCGCAATGGCATCTGGATGGCTAACGCTGACTTCGTCGTACGAGATGCGAACAAAGTGACCTAGAAGGACTGTGAGCGAACTGTCGATAACAAGCGCTGTTGCATATCTTGTACACTTACCATGTTGTTCATGTAAGCGTACGAGTTCGAGGTTTTGATCACCTTTCAGAATACGATGCATATGCCAAAGACGAGTGAAGGAAGCAGCAAACGGTCCTGGTATATCGCCGATTGCGGAGAAATACCGGCGCCATGCAAGTAGAGTCAAGAGACTGATGCCTGCAATTGACGTGACCAAAAGCCAGTACATGTTGATTCAGTCGAGACGACTGATATCGACGCGAGCTTGATCTGTATAGTGGGAAGATATGCGGCGTGGCACATGAGTGGGATGGAAGAATTCGAGACTTGCATACTTTTGGAGTAGCGGGATGCGGCTTTAACCGAATCAGGCTTTTAGCGACATGCAGTTCGAGATGGCATAGATTACGGACCGTTAGCGCGGGTGAGGATGGGATCCTAAAGTTTTCCCATTGATACGCGGCTAGGTACACTACAATACTGAGTAACTCAATACAGGAGTGAAGCGCTATGCCGAGCTATATATACTAAGTCTCAACCCGGCTCTAACGCAAGCCTTCGGACGTATGTCTTCAAGCCGCTATAATCTCGGTGTATGTCGCACGTCCAGTTCAGTCGTCACAATAATTGAGTTCTGCCGAGAAGACTTTACAGAGTTGGAATGCGACTCTGCAAACCCGAAAACCAGTGGACCTGGTTGTTTGTGTAATCCTTCCACAAGCTCCACTTGTGACTCGTTGCCAGTCAGCCCCTGCTCTAGCCTCGTTATAGTTCCCATGGAAGCGCGCTTATTTCTGAGTCCTCGGCGCATCGATGAAAGATGGTATGGCTTCTCGTTCGATCGCTCATAACTGCCCGCAGAGCTGTATTTGCCTCTGACCTTACCCCAAAGTGCTTTCATTGCGGGTAAATTCGCTGCGACAATCGCACATTGGACCTCGAATGATGCCACAATCATCATTTTTCCCACGTCTATTGATAGGTCTGTCTTCATCGAGGATACCGATATGAGGATGGGTAGGCGGATGATTGCGACTGTGACGGAGATGATGCCGAAGGCGAGGACGGAGACGACGGTGACTTTGCGGCGTAGATTCATTTGGAGGGTCAAAACGGAGGGTATCGGGAGACAGATGATGTAGAGGTCCATGAAGATGTTCTAAAAGCGACACGTGTCAGTATGCGCGCAAAGTGTGGTGGCTGAGTGTAGGTAGCCAATACGTACAAGGATAGGTGGCGTGAGCATCATTATACGCATATCGATGCATTTGACCTCGGGATACAACATGGGGTTGAGAATCTTCTCGAATGGTACGCATTGTAGGACGGTCATGAGTCTAGATGCCGTTAGTCTGTGGCCATATGAACTGCGGATACCATTCAACTTACAAGCTGGAGAGGAAAATCGAAAACGCAAGCGCGAATCCAAGATATACGAAGCCGCGGAACGTTTGACCAACAGAAAGCCGGAGATAGAACAAGAGGAAGGTCATCTTGATGACAGAGTGTGCGCCATAGATCACGATCTCTTCGATGAATGATATCTGCGTGCTTCCTTAGTTCTTCTATCTCTCACGAGAACACCCATAGAGTACGTACCCGAAGAAGATCGAGCGATTGGAAACTGCAATTTACATTGCCTGGTCTGTTGAAGTCGATGGTAAGTCTTCGCACGATCACAGAAGATCACCCCCAAACTTACTTGCCACAGCCCAGGTCCAGAAACAGCTGCAGAACAACTTGGTGAGCAATACTGACGACCTGAGAGAATAAGCAAACGTGGAGACATCGCAAAGCTGGTCATGTTTTACCAGTACAAGACATGAAGCTGTATCATCCCAACCCCATGATCTCAAGACTAGTGCGCGAGAGTAGAATCGGGCGACCGAAGACAGCAAGCCGATTGCGAACGTGACATAGGCGACAAAATACGCCCACTCGAAGAGGCCGAGCACCATACTGAAGCTATAGGGTGGGAACTACTGCTGGAGGAGAAGGATGAACGAGCAACTCCACAATGCAGAAACAAAGGAGATGCATCTTAGATCTAACTGCGCGAAGATCAAACCTCCACCCTACACGATGCCCAAAACAGCGTTCACGCATCGACACGAAGCAAAAAACCTTTATCGCGTCTCATCTGGCTCGCTGATTTGCCTGACACACCGGGAATGCGCGCCACGGCACAACGTGCGGCGCAATTAAAGCCGGACCTGGTATAGCCATGTGTATTGTACCCCATCTCAGGGGAGACGAATGTTGATCTTATGTCGTTATGGCGGCAATCTAGATGGCGTGTGTGCTCAGGACGCGAAGAGGTACAGGCTGAGGAGCGCGGTTGAGGCCGCGAGGGGGTGACGAGCTATTCAACGGTCCTGCCGCCTTGGCAACGTACACGTGCGAGGTGGTACTATCGTCGGGTAACTTGTTCATGATCGCAAATTGGCTGATTTGGGGGGTTTAGGAGATTTGCAAGAGAATTGGAGATGTTGGAGGGTGAGGCGTGGAAGTGTGGCTAGTCAGCAAATGTCGGAAGGGTCCAAGCAATGACTAAGAAGGCACGTCATTGCGACGCATTGGCATCGACACTGAGTAAGAGCGACGGCACGTAAAGGTACCGAGGTATCGACATGCCATAACACAAGATTTTGCGGAAACCATCGATACAATGCGAACGATTATCGCCCAAAAGACTAGATTACGGATGCACACTTCCTCGATTACACATCCTTCACAAACCCAACCTCAATAACCTTATCCATAGGAACATCCAAACTCGCAATCTTCGCTCTCGAGTTATCCCGAATGAACAAGAAAGCCTTCAAGAAGAACCGACGGATGATGTTCGTACCGACCTTAACCTTCATCTGCTCTTTCCCAATAATGTACAAGACTTCACGGTTGTACGCACGCTCAAGGGCTTCCAGACGAGCAGAAGTAGTTGAGCTGCGTGTTGGAGTCGATATGCCACTCCCAGCAACAGTCTCGGTAACCATGGTCTTCTCCGGCTGGGCGCCGGTAGCCTTGGCTGATATCTCGCCTTCGCGTTCCAGGGCCCGTGCGACGATGTGGTTGCGGACTTTCTCGTAGATCAATGATGCTAGATCTGGGGTGATTACTTCGTCCATGTAGCCGTGGCGGACTACTAGGCGGTAGCAGTTTGGAACGGCGAGTCGCGAAACACTGTATCGATTCTCTGGAGCGACGAAGGGTACCTCCAGCGGCCGGAGATGGAAGAATACGATGACCTCAGGGATGGTGACTAGTTTGCGGATGAATTGACTGAAGACGATGGGAGTTGTCTCGCCGGCTTTGTCGAAGAAGATGCCGAAGCCTTCCATGGTTCCGACAGATTTGCTGCCATATTGCTCGGTTAGCTCTAAGCGGCCGTCTGGTAGTGTCTTTACGAAGTGCGTTGTTGGGAAGCGATCACTGGCCTCGGCGCCCCACTGTTGCTCTTTGCCAAATCGCCAGAGGATGAATATGGATCCGAGAAGGCAGGCAAGCAAGATGGTGAACCAAGCACCGTCGGGTACTTTAGTGAGTGCCGATGACAGGTAGGTACCGTCCAGGCAAGCGATGGTGAGCCAAGGAAGAAGTACAAAGTATGGCTTGATGCGCCACACTAGGATCGCAACGAGGGTAACCATGCAAGTGTCAAAGAATGTAACGAACATGACGCATACACCGTAGGCGTTACCCAAGGATGTTGTGTTGTTGTAGATAGCAGCGACAAGTACAGTGCCAATCATCAGTAGCCAGTTGATGCTGGGGATATATAGCTGTCCGTGATACGTTGTCGAAGTGTGGACGACCTTGATCTGCGGGAAGTACGAAAGCTTCATGATCTGGGTCAGGAGCTGGAACGTCGCCGTGATCATGGCCTGCGACGCAACGATGGCAGCAGCGATGGCTACGATAAGCGAAAAGATGAGCCATCCTGGTGGGGCACAGTTGTAGAAGGGGTTGGAGTATGCTTCCGGGTGCACACTGATGTAGGCAGCTTGACCACTGTAGGCAAGCAGTAAACACGGGTAGGCGTATCCGAGCCAACTGATCTGTACGGCACGGCGACTGAAGGCACCGATATCTGCGAACAGGGCTTCAACGCCTGTAAAGGCCAGGAGTATACCACCAAGACTGCGCCAGCCTTCGTATTTGTTCCGTATCAGGTAGTCGAATGCATAGAAAGGATTGAAAGCTTTTAGGATCGCGTAGTCATAGCTGTAGTTGTCAGTCAAGAGTACTTCGGGAGTAACAAGAATACATACTTGGCAAGGTTGTATACTCCAAACCCAGCGTTCAAGGCCAGCCATACAATGACGATGGGCGAGAAGACAAACGTCAATTTCGTGACACCAAGCGGCTGCACGACGAATAGCAGGACCAGAATGGCGCATGTGACACCGATGATGGTGGACTTCTCGATATCAGGCTTCACGACGTTTAGACCTTGTACGGCACCCAAGACGGATTGAGCTGGAGTGAGAACACCATCAGCCATGACCATCGATACGGCTAGTACACCGATGACCTGCAGTAGACCGCGAAAGAACTTGGACTTTTCGATAGTTGAGCGGATGTTTCTTGTGGATCGGCCCAGAGTATCGGTATTGTGTCTCTCCATCCCTGCATGAAGTCAGTATAAGAAGACCTATGGCATGATGCACACTCACGTATGAGGGTTGCTTCGCGTGGATCTCTGTTCGCGATGTTTGCCTACATACATCAGTGACTGAGGTACTCACGCACGTTGTTTGACGTACATATTTGGAAAGAAGCGAGTATGTGCTGAATGTGCCACCCTCTCCATCGTTGTCGGCGCGTAGGATGATCAAGACGTACTTGACGGTGACCATCAACGTAACAGACCATAGTATGAGGGACAGGGCACCGAGCAGATTGATTCGACTAGGCGCCTCTGTGAACGTCGAAGAGTAAACATAGAGCGGTGACGTTCCAATGTCGCCATAGATGACACCGGTAGATTGGTATGCAAGGACGAGGATCTGTGTCAGACTGAAGACCTGTGTCGCGTCAGTGTGCTGGATCACACCGCGCCATGTGCCTCCTTACCTGACTGCGCTTAAAATCGCGCTCATCGCGCAGACCTGCATCTTCGTCTTCCGCGTCTTCCAGTTCGCTGATCTTCGCATCAACCGAAGTCCGATTCGCGTGCGACTTGGTGCGTGAGCGCATAGGATAAACTCCGCCCACGGACTGCGACGACCGAACGGGATGCAGGTCTGCATCTGCAAAATGTATTGAGGTATCCATACCAGGCTGTCGGTGTTGTACGCAAAGACAGTCAAGCAGTCTCGCAGGACTTATACCATCCCGTTATCTGGCCGCAACTATGACTGTCTGACAATCTCATCTGGTAACGAGCTCTGCCGCTGACGAAAAGCTTTGGTTGGCTCCTAGCCTTGGTGCTTATCGTGAGAACGGAATGCCCACGTGTAGTTAGCTGCTTCATTGTTTAGGCAGGATGGCGCAGCACTGCGGGATTTTCTTGAGCGTCGGCGCGCGGGGATGTGACTTGCAGCGCTTGCTTTTCGGCGCCGCAACGCTTTTGATGCAATGTCGCGGGCTCGTAAATCGCGCATCCCGTGAATAGTTGCTAGGAGTAATGGCTAAAAGCAGGCTTTGGTCCTCAGCTCGGGGAGGAAGCACATAATGCATGGGCACTCGAAAGAGTGCAGTGTGGTCGGTCACAGTGGTGACGAGCGATCGTCATCCGCCATCGTCAGGGGTCGAGCTTTGCATCCTGCAGACTTCATGCACGAGTACCAGCTGAAGTTTGGCGGGGTGTGGGATGTCTTTGTGTATCGGGCAACTGCACCCTGAGGGATGATTGCAGCTAAGATCGTTCTAAGCCAATTAGCGAGGGTCGCTAATGCCTGAGCGGGTCACCCCGCTAATGCTTGGTCTGACCTTCACGCCTCGCAGCCCGTGGGGTCTCGACCACGCGTCCGGCACTCATTGACAGACGGTTCAGTACCAGCTCTACCTCGTTCCTTGGTCACACTACTTTGCAAGCGCCCGTCGCGGCTCGTGTCTATGAATTTTCTTCGTGTCAAAGGCCCGAAAACAAGGATACGATCATGACAGCGCATGGCCTAGCTGACGGTGCCATCGGTCTAGCAAAGCGTACCTGCATCTGAAAGCCGGTCATGTCGTTGACATGGTGTATCATTTCTCTAATTACGTAGTCGCAACAGCCACCGTGTTCTTCGTCTGCATGCGACACACCCCAAAAGATGTTGCATAAATCTGCCTAGTCCACAATCTCGAGATTATGGCAGCTTCTCCAAACCGAATTGCGCAGATTCAGCAAAGAGACAAACGATCTATCACGGGTTGTACTCATTCACGTGATCGGCGAGTAAGCGTATCTTCGCGCAAGTATAAAACCCTCCTTTAGCATTCTCTCCATCTCTCTATCTCACTCATTCTAAAGTCATTGGAGTTTTCAAAACCTTAGCATGCAAGCGATATGTTCTCATAACGAGCCTCGATCAAAACATGTCTTTTGTCTCGCCAGCCTTGTCCATCTTAATTCCAAAAACCCGAATCTCGAACCGAATGTCTGCTGCTCTTCTCCACTGCTACTTTTATCAAATTCATGCCAGCAACTCCAAAACCTTTACGATATGTCGTTATGGCGGTCTGTCCCTCAATAAGAAAGCTTCTAATTTTCATGGAGAGTAGACTTCATGGGAGTAAAAACTTCTGGAGAACAAAGCGATCGTAGATGTCATTGATGTCTGCGTCTCTGAGCAACTGAACCCATTCGAAAGACAAGAGAAAACTTCGATGGAGTTTTCGAAAGAAAATTGTCGTAGACG